GTATCTTTGAAAACATTTTAATGTAATAATTTTGGCACAGAGTAATAGAATTTGAACTTGCAAACAAAATTTAAGAATCTCTGCAGAAAAATACAATTTAACAGCAACTAAAAAAAAAACAAACATACTTTTAGCACAGAGAAATATAACATATCAAGCAATGACAGTGCTTCTGGGAAGGACTGTGCCCACACTTGTAAGAAAGGCTGTATCTTGTTAAGGAAGAACAAGCTTAGTTATGTAACTTCTCAGAGAAACATCTGAGAAAGTTGTACATCCAGTCAGACTTAGACAGGGGGAGAGACTGTAAATGCTCCAATTCCTTCTACTGGTAGAACTAAAAGCAGCTTAAATGGAGGTCAGCACTAAACATTCTGAAAGACCATGTCTGAACTGATTTTTATATTCTTTTGAAGACAAGCTGCTATTTAAAACACAGGGCAAGCAAATCAGAAGCAAAAGTAGTACCTCTTCAAATGGTTCAATGTCTGCTACTGAACTTCACTGCATGGGGTTGGACAGAGTCACTAGCTGTTGGCAGCTCCCACCTAGCACAGGAACGGATGTCTGGTCACTTGGTCCCAGTTCTCCGTGTTTCCAGCTGCTAGGCTACATTTGAAGACAGAGAAAAAACATAGTAAATCTATTCCTAACATATATTTTACACAGACAGTGTCTGTTATATCCCTAAAAGGTTTTGCAGTCAGAGAAGGTGAAGAGGTTCAGCCAGTCACAGATGGGAATGAAAGCAGTTCCTAAGTGATTCACTAGTGCATAGCGCAAATAAAGTTTGAAAACACTTATTACTGCAGAAATAAAGAAAAGTTAGATTTCACAACCAATAATCCATTGCAGTTATTCATGCTAATATAAAGAACTGATAACGTTTGTACGTCAACCAGTAATCTCAAATGCCAGGTAAGAATTCCCCCTCTAGTCCTCCAAAGCTAACTTCAAACTGTCTGAACATGATACAAAGCTATCAATTTACTCTTATAACAAACACCACTGAATGGAGAGAACCAGACTTAATATCAGTGATCTTATACAGCATGGAAAACCGTATGTTCTCAGAGGGTTTCTTCCATTTTTAGTGAAGTGGTTAGTGGCTCAAAGCTGAACTGGAAGTTGGTCATGAACAGAGCTTCTCAAGGGTTGATACTGGGTCCAGTACTACTCAATACTCTTATAAATCATCTGGATAACAAGATGGAATCAATCTTCACCAAGTTTGCAGGTGACACCAAATGGGTAGAACAGGTAGTTAGAGTGGACAGATAAGCCACTATTCAGAGAGACTTGGACAGGCTGCATGGTTGGGCCAACAAGAATTGCATGAGACTTAGCAAAGATAAAAGTCCTGCACCCAGAATGAAATAATCGCAAGCAGCAGCACAGGCTGCTCCATTAGCACTGGACTATAGACATCCGCACTGAAAAGCTAAGAGAGAACTGAATACAGAGATCCCTATGAGATCACTTTGACCAACTCTCCAGCACTTAGAGCTTCCTGTTCTGGAAGACAGGACAGCACATACTTCTCCCCCTTTACAACCAGGTAAATCTACATAAAAGAAAAAAAAATCTAACAAGGGAAAAATATAACGGGAAGATTCTTAGACTGGATAAGTTACATCTAACCACGCACTCCAAATGCATATGTAAAAGATATTCTTATAATACAGATTGACAAAAAGTAGTAATTACGTTTAAAAACAAGCCATATAAACTGCAACATAAAAGCACACAATCCATTCCAAACACAGAGCTGAAGGTTGAAATTACAGGACAGGACCATGAGGGCTGTGGAATTTTTTTCCGAAACTCAGTGGGTTGACGCCATAAAAAAGATCAGCATTAGTTAGCTGTAGAGCAAGTTATCCAGAGAGCAAGATCCAGGCCCACTCACTTCAGCAGTAGTTTCCTGCTTCCCAGAGCTTTACGATCTGTGTTACATTTCAGAATTTATACTTTGGTGGCATCACAACAGTCAGGCACCCCTGTATTCCTTCTTTCTCCCCCACAGGTAACTGTCACTTCAGGAGCAGTCTATATAGAACCAGCGATCCAGCAACTAATATCCAGCACATTTTCTGGCTTTACTGAAATCTCTTTTACCAATTATTTTGTTTAGCCATTTTCTTTGTTTCAAATTTCAGATGTTACTGCCTGAAATAAACATGCTATGCCTTCTCCCTTCTCCTCTTACCAAACTCCTTTAAATAGAATTTTATTTTAGGTGCAAAGATAAATGGAGTATACTTTTGTACAACACTTGCCTCAAACTGATGAGGGGCCATCAGCATTTAACAACATGTTCTGCTCCCAGACACATTTCACTGAGTAGAATTTTGCTGAACTGTTATTAGAGAAAATAATAACGTAATTTGATTTCCCAGCACAGGCATCACATTGGATTACAAAGTTGCTTTTTAGGCAAAGTAACAAACTCACATTAGATTTTAGTCCATGACACTTCATAATCCTCCATTTTTATTTCACCAACCATGGCATGTTGAAAAGCAAGGCAATCTTTTGGGAAATGGGGACATCCAGCTGCAAGATGATCAAGGACATACTATCTTAATGCTGTATCGGGCTCCTACCTAAAAGGACAAGTTTTGGTCTTCATATGGTGTTAAGATGAGCATCTCTCTTCCCTCAGAATCTCATGTAGTAAGACCTTATCAGGATGTGGCAGAGTACAAAGACAAATTACATTAAGAATTTTACCCCTACTATTATTCCTGTTCAGACATAGGAAAAGGCAGTGATGTGAGCTAGAAGGAGGTAGCAATTGTTAGCAGAAACAAATTGCCGTTACCTTTCATGTCCATACGGATCTGGAATGCATCCACAAACATGCATGAGACACAAAACCGCCCTACTTTTACAACCGAGAGCAATCCAAGCGACATTGTTCTGTGCCAATATTTCAAATCCCTCCTCTTGGGGAATATCCCCAAGATTCATTTTCGCATCCTCAAAGTCATGGAGAACAGCAATTTCCTTTCTTGCATCAGAAAGCTTGTTGTGCTATAACTTGTGTGTAAAAATTGTAATTTCTGTATGAATTTTATGTATCCACATGCTGCATGGCCATGACAAAACAAACAGACCACAGTTTTCGGTAGCATGCATTCCACAGAACTAATGACAGTCAAACGAACACCACCACCCACCCATGACACATGAACAAAACCGGAGTCTTTCAAACAACTAACTTATCTTAGAGCAAATTACTTCAGTCCCACTTAATCCAAAAGTGAACAATCAAATAAAACATAACAGTGAATTAAAAAGCCATCTCATGTGTTATATACAAACTCCAGATTCCCTGTCTATTCTAAACAGATAAGAAACTACAATTAGTATACTATCATTAGTAGTATACTAGCGTAGTATAGTAGTACACTATTAAGAGAAAGACGCAAGTCTTTTAGGCATATAGATACATGGGCAAATAGACCATACAGTTCTAACATATGAAACTGCATGGAGAAACTAAATTCCATAAAAGTCCGGCAAAAGGTTTTCTGTATACAAACTGAAAACTGCTTTGAATCCCCACATAGAGTTAGTTATCTGGCAAAAATGACTCACAGCTAAAATATTCCTATTACGAGAGGTCACTAAGTGCATTTAGGATTTCGTATCAGAACTACTTGTAATTCTTGTAATTCGTAAACAGCTCTACCCCAGTTCTGCTTGTCATTAGCATATCACTGCAGCTAAAAGAAGCAGTTGTCAAAAAAAACCAAAACTGAATAATACTGTAAATATATCTAAGTGGGGAAAAAATAATCAGAAAATGCTTTGTATTTCAGAAAGAATGGTTTTTAATAATCATTCATTGTTTAAAGCCTGCTTTAAAAAACCTGCCTTCAGGATTTTGTAACAGGTATACCCCAGTAAACAACATAAATACTTGATTTTTACTTTCATGACATTAAAATGTGTCATGTCAAGCCCTGGTGAGCAGAATAATGCTTGATCAGATTGTGTACTTGGTAACTTCCTTAGTCCAAATAAAAGATTTGGAAGAACATCTTTAAGGCCTTTGTTTTTTGTGTTAGCTGTTTAAACATGCATACAAACAGCTCTCCAGAACATCATCCAAACAAAAATTGGCTCAGACATTTTGAAATAGTTGTTTGTATTGTTTAAAAGGCAAAAATGGGAAAGAATTTATTGGACTCATTCTTGAAGCTTTCAAGAATTCATGAGCTCTTCTAAAAACAATACTCTTAATAAAGGAAGATACAAGCAGAAATCCAGAAAACGTGAAACAAAAGCAATGACAGAGAATGTAATTTTCGAGCCTCAATTTCAAGGATTGTTTCTGTTGAAATTCTGTTTGATGAAACACTAGAAGTATGTACCATAAAATAGCTGTAATGCAGAGAAATCTTCCCTCACAAGCAATCATGTTAGTTACAAACGCACCACAGAATACAATGTGTTTATACACTAACATTCAAAACAACTTTAATTTTTCCACGCAACTCATATTCACTAGGAAACCACACATCACCACATTGCTTGGGGTTTTCATAGACAGCAAGTATTCTCTGCATTTCCCTAACTTCCCTCTGTCGGTTTGGCTCTAAATTTCAAGCAAACTGCTGATGTACAGCATAGTCTGGTTGGGTTTTTGGAACGATGACTAAGGCCTTGATCCTATCACTTGTTCCTCAACGCAAACCTTAATACCTCAGGTAAGCACTACTGCATACCAATGCGCAATCAGATATAATCTGATATCTGATTTAGGCTGTAGCCATTAAGTAATACAGTAAATAACTGCAATATCCATTTTTGAAGACACACCAGAATCCAAACAATTTCTGGAAATTGTTTCGGGGAAGCATAAAAATATGTATTTTGACTGTTTAGCTGTACTCTTAAGTTTCCTAGTGCAAATTTATGGCACATACTATTCAAATAAACACAGTTTTTGTTCCCCAAACCTCATTTGTTAATGTATTTTTATTTTTATTTCTCTAAAAAGAAAATGTATTTTTACAAGTAATTTAAAAACTGGTAGACGCTGTGTATTAAAAGGATTAAGTAATTAAATCCAAATTGTTCCCCTTATGCACATTGCACAAAGTAAAATATAATTTTGAAATATGTCAGAATAAAAATCTGTAGTGATTCTGGAAGAACTAAGAAAGCTGGAAAGTTATTTTTCTTGTTGTTATGTGATATCAGATATTGCTGTCGACCACTGCTTCATTCTTCAAGCTGCATTTTTTCTGTGAAAGTCATGAGACCAACAGAAGATACTGTTGTCCTCTACCCTCAGCTGCAGACACTTGCATTTTTTTCCTCTGCCTGAATTTGAGATTTTCACTTGAAATGTGTCCACTGAGGTAAGAAAGGGTTAAAGGTTTATAGCATGTTTCAGCTGTGGAGGCGTTTCCCCTGCCAGCTTGTTCTGGCTCCTTTGAAGCTGCAAGAAAGCCTCAGATTTTTTTGGTTTTGTCTTGTCCTTCTCCAGGCCATACTTATCACAGCATGGTTCAGCTATTCCTACTTCAGTTGCATTTTGTTGTACTTCGTTTTCCACTTTTTCTTCATCATTCTTTGTTTGCAGTAGTTCTTCTTCAGCTTCTTCGTAGCCACACCTTCATTTCTAACAGGCTTAGCTGGATTGCCTTTTGTTTCCATAGCTACTGGCTTTCCCTCATAGGGTGTGTCCGATTGTCCTTTCGCCCCAGTCATCTAGACATATATGGGGAAAGAATTAAAAAAAAAAAAAGAACTAGAATTATTAATCTTAAAATCTGTATTAAGCACCAACTTAGACAACTACCCTCAGAGGGCTGTCTTTCTCCTTCTTGTCATTCCAGCCAGACTCAGAGGCCACATCTGGACTGGGCGACAGGCACAGCTAGTCTTCCTGTCACCAGTGGGATCTGACCAATCCTGCTTCTTTCTTGCCTACATGCCTGCGTTTCCTTCTGGCAGAACCCAAAGTGCATGAGGTAATTAGGAACTTATGCACAACTCTATTTTGCCCTCATATGAAGTCAGGATGTGGCTAAAACATATAACTGGGCCTAAAAAGCATCCCCCAGTCCGCTAAGCTAGGCATAGTTAGCGTGTGGCTTTTACACAAATGAGTAAATCTATGCTGAAGATAAATAACGCTTGAAACTTTTCTTACTTTTAAAAAGTGTCATACTACCTGTTCAAAACATTAGGGGTGAGAGTGGGATCTTTGGGAAATTTCCAAAGCATGATATGCATCACTTATTCACCAGCATAAATTATGAAGCAGATCGGATTCCTAAAAAATTTCCACAAAATGTCTATCAAAAGTTGCTTTAGATGCAGACAATTAGTTATTCTTCTCGTAATAAATTCTGTTTTAAAAACAACAGCAACAAAAACCAGATGTTAGTGACTTTTAGGCTATATTAATTTTTACTTATGCTAATGATGTCTGGAAGGAAGATCCCATTTAAACATTTTATTTCTTTAGATTTAACTGCACTCTGAAGAAATGCAGAATATAAACACTGTGTGAGGTCGTTCATTTTCAGTGAAAAGGAGTAAGCCATCCACACACGATTTTATATTTATGTCTGAGACACAGAAATTGTGTTTTCCTAAGTTACTCCCATGCCTCTAGACAAAGTATATGTGCCTCTACACGAAATAACATATTACTCTTATTTTAGAAACAGTACTGCATATATATTGTTATGACTGTTTCACTGTATAGGGAACAGCACACCCATGAGAATTTAAGTTTCTGTATGTCAGGGAAGCCACCTGAATTGCAATGAAAGTCTCCTCAAAGGTGAAGTTCAGAGCAACCAGGGACAATGGCAAAATCAATGCCAATTTGTCTGACTAAGCTAACATAGGGGGCCAAAAGGAAACCTTATTTTTGCTGCAGAGAATCACTGTTATCCCTACATGAGCTTCATTTAAAATTACAAACAACCAAGAACAGATGTAAGATGCTCCACCCTAGCTGCTGAAATCAGGAATCAATAAATTAAGACATGAAACATTTCAAAGAGTGGCACGAGGGGACTGAGGAAAGTACTTAAACTTTCAGTAAAGAGTAACATCATTTGGTGTCCTGGTTTCGGCTGGGATAATTTCCTTCCTAGTAGCTGGTACAGTGCTGTGTTTTGGATTTAGGAGGAGAACAATGCTGATAACACACCGATGTTTTAGTTGTTGCTAAGTAGCGCTTACACTAGAGTCAAGGACTTTCCAGCTTCCCATGCTCTACCGGCTGAGAAGGCTGGAGGTGCACAAGAAGCTGGGAGGGGGCACGGCCAGGACAGCTGACCCCGACTGCCCAAAGGGACATTCCATACCATGGGACGTCGTGCTCAGTACATAAACTGGGGAAAGCTGGCTGGGGGGGCCGCTGCT